TTTTAACTCAATTTCATTCCCACATTTGTGAAAGTAAAGCACAACACTTTTTGGGAAAGTCTGTGACTAAACCATCAAATCTGATAAAGGTTATTTAAATGCTGAGCCACAGCAAAAGAGGAATGGATTGGAATCATAAAAGAAACATATCGTAACCTTAATTTCTGGGGGAGGATAACTCATTTTGATACAGCAGCTCCTCAACATACACATAAACAGTATGTATGTTTCTGGAGTAAACCAGCCCCCTATAGTGAGTACCAAAAATACCAAAAATGGACCTTGGACTTATTTTTTGGACTTTTGTTTGAAATGAAATGCACAACATGTAACATTTAGTTTAAGTTTAGTTTAGTTTATTTACTTTATTAATCCCCCTGAGGGGAAATTCAATGTTTTCACTCTTGCTTGTCAATTACACACAGGTCCGAAAGACACACACATGCACAAACAGGACCTATACATAAACAAAGTGGAGAGATGTCAGAGTGAGGGGGCTGCCCTTGGTGAGGCGCGTTGGGGGGTTCAGTGCCTTGCTCAAGGGCACCTCGGCAGTGCCCAGGAGGTGAACTGGCAGCCACCAGTCCACGCTCCATATTTTGGTCCAGACGGGGACTCGAACAGGCGACCCTCCAGTTCCCAACCCAAGTCCCTATGGACTGAGCCACTGCCGCCCCAATTAACACATTAACAGTAATTGACTTTTTCAATGTTTGTCTCTGCCTTTTTTCTTCTTGTCTGTCTTACATGAATATACACTGATAACTTCACCACATCTGTCCGTAAGTGCTTCCCAGGGTAAACTATAATAATAACAATAACAGTATACTCCGAAGGGCTTAACTTCAGTACCAGCCTGCAGTCTGCAGTTGGGTTGGTAATAGTGATCCGAATTGATATTGATATCGGGTATAAACATATATTATGCATGAATCAATATTTTAGCTTACCCCTAGTCACAATGCTGAATCTCACTATCAACATATATCCTTCACGATTCAATCTCACTTGTGAGGCTCCTGTCTCTCCTCTATCTCCCCCTGTCTCTCTTCCATTTCCTTCTGTCTCTCTTCCTGCCTCTCCTCCTCCATCTCTTCCAGTCTCTCTACTACTTGTCATCTGACAAAAAAATATATTGATGCAAGACATGTGAACAGTGGGACAATCTGAGATGCAACAGTCATAGATTTTGATTGTTGTAGCCTGAGGAAAACATACGGTATGTTTTACAATTGTGTAATTCATTAAACAACATCTGAATGTATATAGGCTAAAGAACAGCCATAATGTCAACACAAGTTAGGCAGCTTCATCATGTTAAACATAAATAAAGTAAATCAACAAAAATGTAAATGCTCCAAAACCATTATAATTCAACTGTGTGCAAAATGTTGCACTTACACCCAATATCTATTACATAAATATGAATCAGTGTTCTTACTGGGTGTTTTTACTGGGAGCAGTGGATCTCTATTCTCCTAAGTCTCTCCTTCACACACCATGGCTGCTGAAGACTGTCACTGAAGGAGCTATTATTTATAGTGTTTACACTGTATTTATTCAGACTGTTTCTGTCATCTCATCTTACTACAAACATTAATTTGAACTGTGTCATCACACCATTCAGTTAGCCTAATATCAACAGGTGTTTGTTTAGCTTATTTACTGAACCAACCGACTCACTGTTCACACTCGGCGCTCCGGTATGGAGCGCTAACGGTGACGCACGTGTATGTGTTGTTCCCTCACGAACTGCCATGAACTGTCATGACGCGCACCCACAAAGTCAGTGGAGAGAGCGGCGCTGGGGAGGACCAATCACACGTTACCAAAATAACAGTAGAGCCAATCGATGAGCAATATGAGGTTAGAGGTGGGACGTATGGTAGACACCAACAATTGTTAACCCTTTGTGTACCATATTGAGCGGACGCCGACAGCCAGTGTTTATATTGGTAGGGACAATACAGAAGGGGCTGAATATTAGTAGGGACGTGTCCCTACCATCCCTACCCAATCCTACGCCTATGGCTTTAATATTAACGCATGCACATAACACAACAGCTAGCTTCTCTCATTCCAATTCAAACAGAGGACAGTGGTACTGACCACCTGTAGCTAGAAAAAACGTCAGCTAACTCCTACCTGACAACATGAACAGTGGCCTATGATTAAATGCAGCAAAAATGAGGACTGGTGATGATAATAATGTGTTGGTATTGAGTGGTAGAAGTTAGGAAATGTGCCACATATCCTGATTTAAGCCAGGTACTTAGACCACTACTGCATATCACCCACTCTGGAAGGCAGCGCATTGCTCTGTGCAGATAGAGCGCTCAGAGCCCAAGTCGGGGAAAGGTGGGAGGGATGGGGTGGATCAAACCATTTTTGAGGCAAGAGGAGGGGGTGCTGCTGTATTTTTGTTGTTAAAATATTACGTTGCAACCAAGTACTGTATGGCTTTGACACTTTTCTAGCTTGTTAAAAAGGGACATACAGTAAAAAAAAAAAAAAATTTAAAAAAATCTCTCAAATTTTAGGGGTGCTGGGATTCAATTTAGGGGCACCAGCACCCCCAAAAATGGGCTAGAAACGCCTATGGTATAGTGGTATGTCTGTTGTAGTTCATGTGTTGTGGCATATGTGTGTATGGATTGTGGCATATGTATTTTATTGTGCCTTCCATGTTTATAGTGTATTGTAGTTTTATGATATTTAAAACTGTACATTTCTAATAACATTGTAGGCCTACATGTAAAAGAGCAACAAGGGACCC